GTTAAGTCCGCCCGGACTCCCCGCCCCTGCGCCCGGCCGTCGGAGTACGCACGCGCAGACCGTGAACAGCCCACGGCCTTCTGGGAGTCGTAGTTTTAGCGCCCAGTTTCTGCTCACGCTGCCCGCCGCCTGCTGTCTGCCGCACTTCCGGGTTAAGTCCCAGGAAACGAACGTCACTGGGGGTGGAGCCATTCCGCAGTGTTGACACGTTGCTTAGCAACAGGAGGCTAACCTTTGGAAGCCCGTTGCAGCACCGGCCAAGGTCCTGCCCTCTTCCCGCCCCTCCCCTCCCCTCAACTCCCTTCACCTGGGAGCTGCCAAACATCTCCATCAGCTGGGCACTAGGAAGGGTTGAATTTCTACCATTACCGCGCCTTTTTACATTTTCCCCCCGACCTCACGTCCGTAAAACCCACTGATTTTTTTACTACACGTTTTATGAGAACAAGACATTTTCTAGGAAGATGGTGGCAGAAAAAGAGACCCTGAGCTTAAACAAATGCCCAGACAAGATGCCGAAGAGGAGGACCAAGCTGCAGGCGCAGCAGCCGCTCCTGGCGCACCAGCCTCACTCCCTGGTTTCTGAGGGCTTCACAGTCAAAGCCATGATGAAAAACTCAGTCGTAAGTGACCCTCCTGAATTGAATGCACTCCCTCCGATCCGATTCCGCGGACACCAGGTTACAGAGGCTGGCGGGCCCTCCCCTGGACTCTGAGTCCGTGTCCTGGGTGGCCTTTGCCAAAAATGGCAATTACTCGGCCAGTAGCAGACAGTACCCAACAGTGTGGAGGTCCAGGCTAGGTCATTAGAAAGGGTCTTGAGCAAGTGATATATTATTTATATTTGCATTTATAAGCACATCCCTGATAACTTACGGTCTTTAGACCTCCCAAATTATTCGTGAGATATTTATGAGGGAACAAGACCCCCTTTAATTTACTATTCTCTAAAGTAGCCCCACTAGGCAAAGGGCCTTATTGCAAGCAGGGGAGTTCTTAGAAATTTTTTTATTAGCTTTTCCCCCCCTCTCTA